AATTCCGCCTAATTCCGGATACTTATATGGATTTCGTAGTTTGATTTAAAGAGGCATTAAATTCTATCTACTATACTAGGAATTATAAGAACGGAAAAGATCCCAACTCTATAAACTTAGATGCTAGCGAAGTTTCTATTTTAATATTAGAATTTAGTACTCCTAAGTCTAAATTAGCTAAAGTGGGACCTTTTAAGTATTGCGGACTTTTATCCTCTTTACGTATATAATTTAACCTTATACAGGGCTTTTCGTCTAATAAATATAAATTAGATAATAGGTCTAATTTAAATAATTTTAGTTACGAGTTTGGATACGATTATTTAATAAATTCTAAGCTAGATTTCGAGCGCAAGCTTGAAAGGATGGTATATAGAAGTCGGACGAAATATTAAATGATCCTATCTTTTTTCTTTTTATATATCAATGCCTATCTAGATTGTCGGGCCTTTTTCTTACTTTCCAGATTGTTGGGTAGACTATTCTAGATTGTCGGGTCCCCTTCATTCACATATTATTACTTTTATTATTCAAAACACTAAAAATAGCGTTACTTTTTATTTCTTTTCGACTCTGGGGCTAGGTCTTCTTCAAGGGGGGGGGGGGGGTGATGTCATGGCGCTGCCAGATATGTGCCAGATCACATGCTTACCTCTGGTCTTTCGTCTTATGTCTCGATTATATATAAAACCCTCGCCTCCATCCTATGTGTAGACTAGCTTCTTCTCTTCTCTATCTTTAGTTATTTATTAATAACGTTAGATTATTCTCGTGCCCCGGCCGTCAGATCCACGTGCGTGACATGTAATTAATAATACTTTCGAAGGGTACTAATTCTTTATAGCCTATAGGTACTAAAGTTAATCGATAGTTAGATTTAAATAGTTTAATAATTTTATTAATATATACGTCTTAAAATAATTAGATTTCTCCTTGGTTTCGATTATATATAATCTTAATACTTAAAAACTATTAGAATTCATTTCCTCTTATTAGGTAATATTATAATTATAGTTCTATTGTATATTTTTTAATTTTGTTTATTTTATTTTTTTTGAATGTAAAAACGATATTATTAATGTAATATAATATAAAAATAGTATTTTTCTTTATAATATACGGATTTTTAAGGATCGCTTCAAATTTTATTAATTTAAATGCCCCATTTAATTCTTATTACTATAATAACAGAATTCGTTAGAGACTATATAAAGCTTTAATAAATTTAAAAACCTTTTTAGGTATTCGATACCTTAGTAGTATATATATATATATCTCTCTTTATTAAGGTAAGTATTTACGAAAATATTAACCATGTTATATTAAATAAATTTAAAATTCAAGCTAATAGCGAAAACGATAATAATATAAAATAATTAATTTACAAAAGTAAATATATATATATATTTTTTTTTTTCTATTAGTTATTTTTTATAACGAATTTTGCTTTTACTTTATTGAATATTCTATTTTTATTAAATTTATAGGTATAAACTTATATATAATCGAAGATTTGCTTACGTTTAAAATAGGGGATATCTTCGTTTATTTCGATTTATATTTTTATATTTTTATAATTTTGAAAGTAAATTTCTTCTACTTCTTTAAATTATTAGCCAAGTATATAATTATTTAAATCGTAGTATTTTTTAGGTATTAGGGGGAAATTACGTTAGTATACCCTATTAAAACGATTGTATTTTATAATTAATTATTCGATTTCCGCCTTAGTAATTATTTCTCTGTTTATTTTAATTATTAATTAAATTAATTTGTTAATATTAAAGGCGGCTTCCTATAATTTTTAATAACGAATGTATTAATCGATAACTTGGTCGATAGAATAGCCGGTATAGAGTACGGCTAGTGGAATAAATAGAGGTAAGGGGTATAAATTTATAATATATTCAATAAATATTTTATTATTAATAAACTATTAAATTATTACCTCCTATAATTAATTATTTTTATTTTAAGAAACTTTTTAATTCCTTTAATAATTTTTTTAATTTTAATTGAACAAGTTTAGTAGGAGAGGTTTAATATTACTGTTATTAATATTGTTTAATAGCGTATAATTTTTAATATAAAATAATTTAAATACCTTTAAAAGTTAATTAATAAGCTTAATTAATTTATTAAATAAATTAGTGAACTCTTTACTAGTAATTTTAAAATTGTTTTTCAATTTTTTAACGTTTAAGTAGTAAATAATATTTTCGTCCAATATTATATTTTTAACATAAACGATTTAATTTATATAAAGATTTTATATATAATAAATTAAAGTCGTTGAATAATTAATAAAATTACCGATTTACGCCTTTAGATTATATTTCTAAAATTTTTATTCCTTCCTTTAAGCGGCGTTTATTATAATAAATACTTTATACCTATAAATTCGAAAGTAGTTTAAATTTAGGTTATATAATTCTTATTAATTATATTAATTCGTAATATAAGTATAGAATTGTTTTAAAAGGGATTTCCAATTATATAAATAATAAGGGGAATGATTAATAAGATAAATAGCTACGCAAATAATCTCTAGCTATAAATCTTTTAGTATTTTTAAGTTTACTAATATTGTACAATAGTTTTGTTTAATTATACCCTTTAAACGTTCTACCCCTCTATTTTATATTTAAGTATTAGGAATAGAAAATTTAAGAACTGTATTATACTGGGCGAATCTATCCTTAATTTTATTATTTATACATTCCTTATTATATTTGACAGTTTTAGTGTTAATATTATATCGGTATTTAAATATTTAAATATAGTTAATTAAAGTATTAATTATTGTAATAACTTTTCGGTTTAATAAGTAATAGTTTTAGATTAATCCTAATTATTGATAAATAATTAGAAGGAAGTAATATAATTTTTTAAATTCTAATTTAAAATCGAAGAAATTGATAGCGAATCTTTCCCCTAAACCGTAGCCTCAATTTTTCGAAATGCGGCTAATTTATTCTTTTATTTTTACTATATTATATACATTGTATTTAATTGAAAGTATATTATATAATTGTACTCTATTAACGTTCTATAAATAATTAAATATTTAAGGATTTAGGTAGCCGAATTGTTAATATTATACTTCTATTAATTATTTTAAAGGTCATTGTATATATAAATTAATTTATTAATGGCGCGCTACGAACGAAGTTTTAGTAAATAAAAGAGGGATAATTTTAATAATTGTTTAAGTATAAATAATATTTAAATAATAAAAGAATAAGCTGTTAACTTTCTTTAGATAATTATTTAATAATCGATAATCCTAATAGAAACCCTACCTTCGCAATTAAAAATAGGAGATGAAGTTAATAGTAAAATTAAGGTAGAAGGCAACCTCCTTTAACCGCAACTTTAGAAGATTATTTTTACTTTTAATAACGATATCGACCTCCTTAAACCCTTTAATCTCTATTTAAATAATACTAACTTATAAAAAATTATCCGAATTAATATCACGAAAATAAAGGAAATGAATAGTTTTATTAAATATATAAAACGACTTACCTAAATCGAATATTATTAAATTTTTAAGAGGGTAAATTTCGTTTTTAGTTTCAAATGCCCTACTAATTTCAAAGGTTACTTTGTAAGCCCAATTTAATAATTATTCTAATTCTTCCTTTTCGATTTTCTCCTCCTTCTCTGAAAATTTAATTATTTCCTTAGCGAATTTTAAATATCTTGTGAAATTAATTTTGATAATGTATTTAATAGAAGGGTATGACTTAAACTATAAAAGCTTCGTATTTAAATTAACGTACTAATAATTTTTAAAAGAATAACAGCCTTTTTTATATACTTTATATATTATATTATTACCCTTCTTACGTAATTAAATTTGGGATTTATTTAATAGAAATTTTCTTTTCCCTACGCCCTTAGGCTTCTTATTCTTATTATTGTAATGAGCGTCCTCATTTTTAATATAATTATAACTATTATTATTATATCTCTAGCTATTGTATTTAATATTAGATTCGCTAGCGTTAAAGGTACTATAATAGATTCTTCCTTTTTTTCTAGCAGCGACCCCGCAACGAACGCTATTAATACTATACCGTTTAAAATCTCTATAAATTTTTATATATTTGAGAATATTAGTGGCTATTTCTTTATTAAATTTTTAAGCGTTATTGTACTACCTAAAATAAATAATTTTAACTATATTAATAAAATTAAAATACTATAAGTTGGTAACGAAAATTTACCGATTCTTTTATTTTATCCGTTATTTATCATAGTAAATTAAGTTTGCAATTAATTAATTTAATTTTTAAATTCCTTCGTAAAAATAACGACGGCTTTATAATATATTTTCCTTACTTTAATTTAATTATCGACCGTTTTATAATTCGTTATTTATTTAAAATTTCGATACTATTCGTTGCTATCCTATTTCTCCCTTATAATTCTATTTTATAGTCCGTAATTAATTAACAATTTTATCTAAGTACGTACGGCCTTATCGCTAATTATAAATTCCTTCTAATTTTTATTATTATTAGGATAGAGACTAACTTCTAATTTATAGAGCTATTTATTAATAAGGTCGTTCTTAGTAATAAAAATATCGATTATAATCTCGTTTTAATCGCGGTATTTAATAAATTCTTTATAATTAGTCCCGTTTTTATAAATAACAAATTAGGTATTAATACCGCTGTCGAAACTTACGAACTCCGCCTCTATATTACTAATACGGGTCTTTACTTCCTTAATTAAGAAGTAATAATTAAGATAAAGCTATTTCGGTACGGAAGGCTTCTTAGTCTTTCCTTAGAGCTAATCTTTAAGGGTATTAAGGATACATTTCGACTAGAATATAGGTTCCCATCGCGACTAATTGTTACCGTCTTTAAAGTAAACAATATTTTCTTTCGTTTTAGTAGGCTTTGAAAGGGATATTATAATCCGGTTATTATTTATTATTTAAATGTGCTAATTATTATATTAATAAGTTGTATATCAAACTATTAATTGTTAAATTTACTCGTGATTTATTGATTCTGTGTGTATCTGACTCGAGCGCTCTCTTCAGAAGGTATGGGGGTTCTGGGGGTAACCCATATTTGCCAAGACCTGTTAAATCAGGTGGCTGGGACTCTGGCGTCTAGCCTACATCTGGCCAGAATGCCACCCTAGAAACCAAACAATGCAACTCATCACCCTCTTCACCGGCGCTCTCACCGCCGCCATCTCCATCGGCACCGCCTCCGCCTTGCCTGCCTCCTCCTCCTCCGACACCAAGCGCGTGCCCATCCTCGGCGGCTTCCGCCTCTCCACCTCCGACACCTGCCCCATGGACCTCAGCTCCCAAAATTGGGAGTTCTACACGGTCAACTTCGGCGCCGCCTGCGGCGAGTGCACCGTGCCCAAGCGACAGTGTACCGGCAACGTCACCGAGACGTTCGACGCCCGCACCATCAGCGACGCCTACCTCAACCCCAAGTGCCAGATCACGCTGTACCAGAAGACCGACTGCTCGGATCCGGGCATTGTTAGTGGTAGCGGATGCTGGGCGCCCGAGGGCGGGATTAAGGCTTATAAGATTTCGTGCCCTTGGTGGGAGGAGCCGGCGGGTGCGGAGGGTGGAAGTTGGTTGAGGCCTTGTTATGAGTAGAGTGTTCTTTCTACTTGGCTGGAGGAAGGAAGAGGAAGATATTGATGAAGGATAAGAGATTGTTCGAGGAAATACCGGAACTTCAGCGAGCGTGTTTTAGAGGTGGGAATGGGGTCGAGTAAAGGCAGTGGAGGACAATGAGCTTGCTTCGTCAATTCTGATGAGGACACTTCGTGATCAGGGAATTTCACATTAATATTCCTTCATAATCTCATACACACATCTTGGCTTCTGCTTCTTGGTTTACCTTACCAACTTCCTCACAGAGATCGCGTCAAAACCATCAATCTGCCCCCTCCACCAAACGCATGACCTGCCAGGTCTAAATACTACCACAATGGAAAATCGGGGTGGGGTGCTCTTTCCAAGCGTAAACTCCAGGATATGTGATGGTTGGCAAGAGCTGTAAAATGACACTGTCTTGCCCATATATCATATAGACTTACAACGGAAGGTGGCACTACCTTGCCTCGCTGCGATGGTGGTGTACCGACTGGGTCCGTCTGCTGCCACCGCAGATTGACTCGTTTTTCAAATCATCTTGAACCGACCCGCTCGTTTCAGTATTGAACAAATATCGTTTATTTTGCCAAGGTCTTAATATCTCCGGTACACTCCCGATCGCTACCCCGGATCCGGGGGAGTAAGAGCCGTGAACGAGACCCGCACTCATCGCCGATCCGTGGGGTGGAGACCCGGATCTCGGAGACGTCACAGTGGGTCCTTTGCCGGTGTAAGTCGGTGCGGGCTTCCGACGGTGAGCATCGCTGGGCCATTCAAACTGAAACCAGCATCATTTCGTTTTCTTTAGAGAGTTCAAGTCTTTCGGAGGAGTAACACAGACTCAAAAGTCAAAGGTCGGAACCTCCAATGCTCCTTCCCCTTCCCCTCCTCCCAACGAGACCCTGAAACCCTTGTGCGGGGAAGTGCTTCTCCGAATGCATTGGTCTCTGAACCGAGGCACCCGAGAGAGGCCGCGTGACCGCCAACATGAGAGCCCATCATTATCGCTGAACAGCGTCATCCGTTGACATCCAACTGCAGCAAGACATCGCCATCCGGTATCAGTCTTCAGACCAGTAAAAAGCGATCGCCCGCAACAATCTCCCAACACCACTCTCGACCTCAATCGCAACAATCCGGATCACACCACCTTTCTTTCCCCCCAACTTCCACCGACAATCACTCCCACCACTCCCACCACGACCTCCCATTGAAACCTCCCCATCACAATGTCCTCACGAACCCCTTCCTCTCCGGGTCCAAGTCCAACCCCCCTCCCGACCCCAACCAAACAACACCCCATAATAATAATCGGCACCGGCCTCTCCGGCCTCGTCGCCGCCTTCGAGCTCTCGCGCGCCAACATCCCCTGTCTCCTACTCGACCAAGAACCGCGCTCCTCACTGGGGGGCCAAGCCTTCTGGTCCCTCGGTGGTCTCTTCATGGTCGATTCGTCCTTCCAGCGACGGATGGGCATCCGCGACTCGCGCGCCCTCGCGCTTCGCGACTGGTTATCCTCTGCACAGTTTGATAAGTTAGAGAAAGAAGATTACTGGCCCCGCCGGTGGGCGGAGGCGTTTGTGGATTTTGCCACGGACGAGATGGAAGATTATGTGAAGGCGAGGGGATTGGGGTTCTTGGTGAATGTCGGCTGGGCGGAACGCGGGGATGGGAGGGGGGCGGGCGGGCATGGGAATAGCGTGCCGCGGTTTCATGTTAGTTGGGGCACGGGGCCGGAGGTGGTGAGGGTTTTTAGGGAGCCTGTCGAAAAAAAGGAGAGGGAGGGGGTGGTGGAGATGAGGTTTAGGCATTGTGTTGATGAGATTGTGGTTGATGAAGGCACGGGACGGGCGGTCGGGGTGAGGGGGAGGGTGTTGGAGGATCAGGAAGGTGATGGGGCGGTGCCGAGGGGGGTGAGCAGTTCGCGGGTGGCGACGGGGGAGTTTGAGATTCGTGGTGCGGCGGTGATTATTGCTAGCGGAGGAATCGGAGGGAATCTGGAGAAGGTGAAGAAGAATTGGCCGATTGATCGACTCGGTCCCAAAGTGCCGGCGACCATGGTCATGGGCGTGCCGGCGCATGTGGACGGGCGGATGATTGACATCGCCGAGGGCGTGGGAGCGAGCGTGATCAACAAGGACAGAATGTGGCACTACACCGAAGGATTAAAGAACTGGGATCCCATCTGGCCCGGCCACGGCATCCGAGTGTTGCCTGCCCCCTCGTCGCTCTGGCTAGACGCCACAGGCAAGAGACTGCCTCCCTTCCTATTTCCCGGATGCGACACGCTGGCGACGCTCAAGCACATCTGCAGCACGGGCTACGACTACTCGTGGTTCATCTGCAACCGCACCATCGCGGCGCGGGAGTTTGCACTCTCGGGATCAGAACAAAACCCGGACATCACCAACAAGAGCATCGTGCAGACGCTCCGGCAGCGCGTCTTCAGCTCCAACGGCACCGTTCCCGTGCAGAACTTCGTCAAGCACGGCGAGGACTTTGTTGTGAAGGACAACCTCGAGGACCTGGTGGCCGGCATGAACGAGCTGATGGAGAAGACGGGCGGTGGTGTCCGCCTCGACTACGCCGCTATCAAGGAGGAAGTCGAGGCCCGAGACAGCCAGTTCGATAACCCGTACTCCAAGGACGCGCAGGCGATGCTCATCAACAGCACGCGGAATTACTGGCCGGATCGGAGAAGCCGGGTGGCGCCGCCGCACAAGCTGTTGGATAAGAAGCACGGTCCGCTGATTGCGGTGCGGATGAATCTGCTTACGAGGAAGACGTTGGGCGGTATTGAGACTAACCTGAGCAGCAATGTCATGAGGACGGATGGCACTCCGTTCCCGGGTCTGTACGCGGTCGGAGAGGCGGCTGGTTTTGGAGGGGGTGGTGTCCATGGGTATAACTCTCTCGAGGGAACGTTTTTGGGCGGGTGTATCTTCTCTGGCAGAGCAGCTGGTCGTGCCATTGTGGAAGAGGTTCTTGGGACAACAACGGGTTTGCAAGCGAAGCTTTAAATTTTTTGAATCACATTGTCAAGTGTAAGTGTGAGGTCACAAAGCATTGGAAAAGTCACTTGAGGACAGAGTTAAGCACGGTTTCACTGCACGATCAACTTGGATATATAATGAGAAATGAGTGTTGTATTTGTATAACGAAAGACTCTTCCTATCTAACAATATACGAAAAGGTTTTGAACAGAATAGCAGAGCGATATGAAAGTAACCGACAATCCGAAAGCCAACTTCTGCCTAACGACGGTATGGCATCCTCAAAAGTCTCAAACTGAAAAGAAAATAAACTTGTTGCTTCTCTGGTATCCTGCTCGACAGTACTACTACTAAACCAATTTTGCCCGTTTGCCAACTACCGCACTTGTCATTCTCGTTCCTTCTTACTCATATCGTATTCCCTTATGTTCTTTGCCCCTCTGGCTGAAGAGGCTGCAACGCCTCGTGGTCCATGAACGTCTCTCCCTCCTTTTGGTGTGTAACTTCTTTTTTTTGTGGTTGTTTTCTTTTTGTGTTAGATCGAAACGGTTGACGCCTGCGTGATTGCGGTAGAGAGTATGCGGGAATAGCGGAAGTGCTGGGAGGAAAACAAGGTGATGGTGAAAAGGTATGTACATTTCATAACATTTTGGGGTGTGCTTGAGGCCATCAAGCCCAGTGATAAGTGGTGTAGTTTGACTGCAATCGTGGGGTGTGAAGGCGAAGCATCTTGAGAAGTCTGGCTGTGCTGTGGAAGGAAACAGGCTTGAGATCCCTCTAGTATCCATCCTTGATCTTGTCGAAGTGCTGCCGTTGCTCCCTGGTTGGATATTTTTGGACATCCTCCCATGAGCGACCATCATTCTCCGAGTCCGGGAGCCGTTCAAGCTTGAATTTTTTGTACACGCCGTTGTTCTTGTTTGTGTCGAATCCTTGAGCGACGACCTTGTAAAGCCCATCATATCGAATGCCAACTGTGGGGTAGATGGGACTGCGCCTAGCATCAGAAGTGGTTCCTGCGTGTCGCAATACCCGCACTGGCTTGCCCTTCTTTAATGAAATCTCTAAACTTCTTGTCGCGTTACTGGTTTCGGCTTTCAAAGGGTTGGCATTCGTGCTTTTGTCCGCGCTGTACCAAAGCTCGGTGCCCTTGTCCTCGTTCAGGTCCCGGTAAACTGAGTTCGCTGATACAACGATAGAGTAGGCTCCCAGATCAGCATGGCCGGTAATGCCCGCCTGAGGCGCACCGTGAGCTCCGTGAAAGTGAGCAGCCTTCTGATACGGCCACCAAGCACCGGGAATGTGGTCGTTGTGGCCAAAAACCTTGGCTTTGCGTTTCTCGTGATGGTAGCGAGGATCCAAAAATAAAACAGCTCGACCTGTCTCTGTCGTCTTGCGAGCCAGGCCATGCATGATGCCTCGGAGGCCCCAAACCGGATGGGAAGCGGGGGGAAGTTGGATAACTTCTGTGTAAGCGGAAGAGCGGGGGTCAGGGCTTTGTCTACCCTTTTTGCTGGATGTAGCAACGGCGGAACCCAAATTATCTGCCTCGAGTCCTTCTTCTTCTTCGTGATCTGTAAAGCCCTTACCCCATTCTTCGGCCTCATACTTGTTCAGTACTTCTTGAGCTAGTAGCGACAAGTCTGGGGCCATTCTGTCCAATGTTTCCGGAAAGTCGGGGGGCAAATAGAACGCGAGTACCTTATCGAGGCCAAGCTTCTTGAATTCAGGCTTTGGCTCTACTTCGTGCTGAAGCCAAAATAGGTAGACGCGCATATTTCTGATATAACTTTGTATTTCTTCCTCAGTGAGTTTCTTGGCGTGGTCAGGCCGCTTCTTTGTCATGGAGAGAAGTTTTTTGAGCTGTTTCCACCCCTCCTCAACAGAGTCAACCCAGACACTAGCTGTGTTTTCGTCCGCGGGGGTAGCTTCAACCGTCGGCTGAGCCATTTCGACGTCCTTGTCGGTATCATTATCGGTTACCGGGGAAGGAAGCTGTGTCGGGGTGGCGTTTGAAGGAAGGTTTGAAGACCGGGAAGTCAGAATTTGGCCAGAAGGCTCGCCGGGAGACTCCATGTCGGCTACTGGGACTCGCGTCTGCACTTGCGGTGCCGATGAAATGGTAGGGAGGGCACTGACTGCCTCGGATGGCAATTTGAGTTTCGGCGCAGGTCGTATTCTCTGTTTCTGATACGGGTTAGCAGGGTCAGGATGGGGTGGATGATTGGGACATGCATCGGAATTGTAAAAAAAAATATGTATATTCCTCCAGAATATCACGCGGGGTGTGATGGCGATCCGAGTGAAGAAACCGCACTGGTGGGTGGGCAAGCCAGAGTGAAGGGTAATGATTTCGGGAGAAGACGAAAGTAAAGCGATGATGGGGTGACTTACGTCTGAAGATTTTTTGATGCGGTTCTGAGAAAGACTCCCGGTACGTCCACGGTTCTTGGATATCATTTGAGGCGAGGTAGGTGACAAGAGCGAATGCTTCCTTCTGTGGAGGCCGCACTCAGATTTGCGGTTTTGTTTAGGTTGCTTCTTCATCTTTTATTTTGGAAGTAGTCTTATTTGTAGTGGGAAGCTGCCGTCCTGATCTCCCGGCTTCAATTGCAAGGGCAGGAGCAATTCACTGTATCACCCCGACAGCAAGAGCGCCGAACTGAAGCTGGGATGAATCAATGTCGTCTCGGCAACAGGCAGGCACCGCAATGCGTGAACAATCCCCTTGATGCGACGAACTGATGCGATGAAATAGTATGTCGTCACTCATCAAGCGACGGATTGCGTATGTAGTTGAGCAATTGAGCAACCCTCCAAGTGTTATGAATGAGTTGTAGGTACTGAGTACTGTCTATATATAAACTGCTTCTGTTTGATGTTCACGTTCCGAGTACGGGACGATGTTATCAAACGGAAGTCACCTTCAAGTCGACTGCGAACGCTAGAGGACTTGACGGTTATACGATCGAGGGTTTATCTGATCTTAATTGATTGATAGCTTCTCATGTTTTAGTCATGTAGAAGCGATGCCATGTATATGCATGTGCATCAGACAGTTCTAAATGCAGACGTCAGTCGTGCAAGTACGAGTGATGAGTCTCAAGTACTTATATATGCAGTGCAGTGCGTGAACTTGAATGAGTGGAGGAGTGCGCTCGGTTGGTTGTGAAGGTGAGACGCGGTGAGAGGTGTTGATAAAAGGTAAGATGCGACGGGAGGTGTGACAAAGAATGCAAATGAATTGATAGGATGAGACGGAACCAATGAAAGAAAAGAGGAAAATAATTATAAACGGAAGATGCGGGGTGGATAGAGAACATATACTTATAAAAAGTGGGTCTTGTAACGTAGCATTGGCATTCTCTTCTTGGCTATTTGAACGAATTAAAAAATATTTCTTTTATTTAATTGTAATAATTTGTTTAATTTATTGAATTTATTTAATTAATGTCATTTATTTAATTCATTTAATTTATTTATTTTATTTAATTTATTTATTTAACTGAATTTATTTATTTGATTTGATTCATTTAATTTATTTAATTTATTTAATTTATTTAATTTATTTAATTTATTTAATTTATTTAATTTATTTAATTTATTTAATTTATTTAATTTATTTAATTTATTTAATTTATTTAATTTATTTAATTTATTTAATTTATTTAATTTATTTAATTTATTTAATTTATTTAATTTATTTAATTTATTTAATTTATTTAATTTATTTAATTTATTTAATTTATTTAATTTATTTAATTTATTTAGTTAATTTTAATTCCATTTGATTCCATTTGATTCTATTTAATGTCATTTAATTCAATTAATTCAATTGATTTATCTATTTATTTATTTATTCTATATGTAAAGTAATATCATCGATTAAATTAAATTAATCTAGTACAGTCAAATAATTTGGTCACTTTATTAAATTTACTTAATTAATTAAATTGAATAATAAACCCAATTTAATGCATTTTACTAATTCAAACAATTTTACAATTTTTTTTTTTTAGCTAAATAGATTCACTATATTTAAATAACTTAGTCGCTTGAATTAATTTAATTGCTTAATTGTTTAATTGCTTAATTGTTTAATTGTTTAATTGTTTAATTGTTTAATTGTTTAATTGTTTAATTGTTTAATTGTTTAATTGTTTAATTGTTTAATTGTTTAATTGTTTAATTGTTTAATTGTTTAATTGTTTAATTGTTTAATTGTTTAATTATATTCATTATATACATTATATTAATTATTCGCATTATTTACTTAACATTTTGAATTTGATTATTTCAACTAATATACTTTATACAATACATTTAAATACTTCAATTAATACGTATGTTTCCAATTATTTTATCAATTTTAATAAATGTAATATATTTTAATTGATTTAATAAAGACATCTAATCATTTAACATTTTAACATTTTAATATTTTAATATTCTGTGACGAACGGCAGTCTGATCTGCCTAAATGAGATAGCTGAAGGAAGTAAACTATCAGGTGCAGTTCGGTGAAGCCAAAAGGTTCACAACAAGTATCGTTATACGTGTCTCTGATGACGATGGTCTATTGACTACTGTCGAACTATCTGACAATCCGAGTTCTCCAGTCGTCCCTTTATACTCTGGTGATTCTAGTTACATGTGTCTGGCTCATTGATCGTGAACTGGCTCATGAGCCTTCAGACGTCTCATGAGCTTCTTCTCGGCTCATGAGCTCTTGTCTGTCTCATGAGCCTGTCTTGGCAGATGTGAGCCCTCCTTGCTCCGATCCTGGCTCTTATTCCTGGGAAGGTTACACCACCCAGCCTTCACGTGGCTGTTGTGTTCCCGGTGGCTTGGTTGGCCCGTGTCATCGCTTAAAGTTCGTAACATATTCTTATGTTCACAATTTTTTATTTAATTTTCTATATAATGTCACAATGCTTAAACTATCTCTACGATGCGAGCCTCTGATAATTAAATGTTCCCATCGTCCCTTTTCACTTTTCTTATTGGACAGTCTTCATTTTCGGGCCCACACCATACTCGCCTCTTTGTTCTCGTCATAGGTCCTTCATCTTTCCATTACCTTCCAGCGCGATCCAAGCCATGCGTCGCGTTCTTTATTCTCGATACAAACAGTTCGTTGCCTCGCTCAGCAGTCTGAACTGCAACTACGCTATTTCCGATGTCATACTGTACTACCCGATTTCACTCACACCTGTTGCGTCGTCTTCTTGTCGCTTTTCTCTACATTACTTCGCCATCCCCGAGGATCATACCGCCTGCCTGTGGGAGTAGCAATTGGTCATTCCACCTAGACAACGGTCACTTCGAGCACTTCTTTCATCTTTACTACTCTACCAGCGCTTCTATCGAATTGCGCCCCCAAGGTGCGATTGCCTCCCGTCATCTAGTTTCTCACAGTAGAGTTTTGTTAGTGACTCCGTCTGCTCATTCAGGCTTCGATCTGACAGTGCCCGGTTGGACCAACATGGGCAGATCATCCCCTCGAGGAAAACCCTAACCCCACGCAATTGCCACCCAACAGTGTCACAGACATCGTTCGTCCACCAGCACATCTTCTCTTGTACACGGTCAGGAACATGATTCCGCTGTGCCATGCTACATCCCGCAAACTGGCCATACCAAGGGTCAGGCCCTCAGGATGCATCTTGATTCACCATCATCCCGGGATCGAAAACCGGCGATGCGTCCCTGCACACCAACTACCACCATGAACTTGGGAAACATTGCAAGGCCATCCTAAGATACAAGTGTGCAACTCTTCCACAGTCCTGCGCAGTGGATGTCTTGGATTTCTTGTGCGGTGTCATAGGTACATGCAGGGTATCGCACCCTTTATGCTTCGGACCGTGACATGTACCCGGGAGGGCATACGCACAACCGGGCTGTTACGCACCAACACCATGCCTTCTTGAGCGACGCATGGCAGATGGACCCTTTTGACAGACCCGACTTCCCTTCACAAATAAAGTTGCAGTAGTGATGCATCATGTTCGGAGATCTGGAAGCTTCAAGTGAGCGATGATCCATCCAAATACAACACAGTATCGGATCCCGGCTGAGTTTGGCGATAGTCAAGGTGTTTCTGTCTCACGTTCTTTTGTTGATCGTGACATGGAGAGCCTCGCGATTTGCCTTGTTGCAACTTTGTTTTTCTACTGCTCTTACACTAGTGTAGAGCCCCCGACAGCATATGAAGGTCTTCATATCACCCGCTTTTGGGAAGGATCTTGCATCCTGATTCATGGTCGCTGTCCCATGTTGGCTAAATTTTTCAGCTTGGGTTTTGACCGAGATGTTTCACATGGCTCCAGAGGCCACAGAGAAATAATGGGATGACTTCTTAGCCTGGGCCAAAACAGCAAAATATTGGACGGCATCTGCTTTCAGACAGGAATATTGCATACAAGTCGACAACCAACACCCATGAACATCACGAGAACCATGTCAAAAGATTCGCCGGGAATCTACGGTATCGTACAGTTTTTGCATTCCGTACATCGCACAGCACACATTCATCGCAGAGGGGTTCACCGTTGGAACTTGGGCTGAACCAATCAGGCATCTGAATGTTTAATTCGGTACCTTATTCCCCGATATCTGGGTCTCCAATACTCGAGCCGTTCCAATCATATTATTTCAGCTTACTAGTCATGCAAAATAATCTACGAAGGGGCCTCTCTTTGGCCGCTTCCCGACCTCGATAGCATCAGTCACCGCACAATTAAACCAGGACCGGAATTCCACTCTCCCACGGTTATCAACCTATCCCGCTTAGGACGAGTAACCTCGATGCTAACATTTGATAGCATCACTTGCAAAGTCACGACAATATGGCTTCTCTCAAGTTCTCCGTAACTTGTCCCGGTCCACCTCCGTACTCCAGTAGGTTCCGAAGTGATGGAATGGGGTCATGAGAGAATGAGGAGTAACATATCGTGGGGTAAAACCCGGGGTTTGGCGGAGACCAGCAAGACGGGTGTAACGTCTGGAAAGGGACAAAGCCGTTGGTGTTGTTGGTCATGGATGGCTGGTCATCGTCGGTCTTGGCTGGCTTCTTTGAGCGTGGTTCTCCCGTGGTTGCGCTTCAAAGTTCACCAGACTTCTTGGCCAGCCCCTTGTCCTCCCGCCGCCCCTTTCTCCGATCAGCACGGCGAACTCCCGAAACGGCTCGACTGTTGCATGGCATGTCCCCAACCCGTCGCTTTTTGTCGCTTTCTTCACATTGAAGTTGGAGAAAGAGACGAAAGCTTACAAGCGCACCTATCACGGCCCCGGACTCTCTCCGCATCCCCGCGTCCCCGCATCCCCGCACCCCGCAAATCTCGTCTTGCGTCCCTGCTTCCTGGGCCTGGCTTACATGCCCTTGATTGGAGGAACATCCAACTTCCTCCTGTCTTTCACGGCCCGCAACACACGACACCAGCGACCAGCCGCCTTGCTTGTCTCACAGTCTCGCACGACTTTTCCACAGCCTTTTACCGCCGTGCTACCTGCCACCCTTCCTTCGCCCGAACCAACAACATCTTCTCGGCCCTACCAGCGCCAGAACACAGCATGGACCCCACTTCACGAATATCACGGTAACGTTGAACCGAGCGAAAGAGGGTATCGATTATGCAGAAGACAAAACTCATGTACCTTCTCGCCCTTTGGTGGCCAAGCTGTGTCTCTTGGCGCCAAATCCTACGTCCATCCCAAAATCACTTTTTTTCGATACTTTCGTCACAACTTTACGAAAAGTCACTACATCAAAAAACGGATTAAACCAGTAAATTCAGCGCGCCTAGAAGGGGGCCTATTGCTCGGGTTAGCTTTACATCGGGTTATGGCGAGGTTGATGTAGCGGTTAGAAGAAGAAGTATCGTCGAAATCATAGGTACATAGGTTTTTGGTTTGGCTTACAAGGCGTGGGCGAGAAGGTACATGAGTTTTGTCTTCTGCATAATCCGTTTCCGGAAAGAGGCCATCTTACCCGGTTTCATTGCAGGCCAAGCTCAACCTCCTTCCGGGGATGCCTGCATCCTTTTCACGAGTGATGCAACATAAATGATTCCAAGTTGATGGTCCTCCGGGGGTGGGGACCTGGTTCTGTCTCGGGGAAGACATATGTATAAGGGGGACTCCCAGTTCTCTCCAAGGGAAGAAGCCAGCGTCTCTGTTCAAGACTTTGTCTCTTTTCAACTCCTCGAGATATCCGTAGTCAGCGCAACTGCTGCGGGAAACAATCAAGATGGGGCTCGGGCTTAAGCTACCGACAATCTACAATGTCTACCTCGTGGCTATCATTGCCACCTTGGGTGGTGCACTGTAAGTTCCATCCCAATCTTTCCAATACTCAACTCGGTGTTCTGGTTACACACAAGCAAAGACATGACTAGATAGATGCTGACCACTCTTTGATGCTCCAGCTTCGGCTTCGATATCTCTTCCATGTCCGCCATCGTCGTAACCGACCAATACATCAACTACTTCCACAACCCCTCCGGTGTCATCCAAGGAGCCATCGGCTCCGCCCTCGCTGCCGGCTCCGTCGTCGGTTCCGCCATCGCCGGTCCTCTTTCCGACAAGATCGGTCGCCGTGACTCCATCTTCTTCGCCTGCTTCTTCTGGCTCATCGGCACCTCCGTCCAGGTAGCCTGCAAGAACTATGGCCAGCTCATCGCTGGCCGTGTGCTCAACGGCTTCACCGTCGGCATCACCTCCTCCCAGGTGCCCGTCTACCTTGCCGAGATCGCCAAGGCAGAGAAGCGTGGTTCCTTGGTCATCATCCAGCAGCTCGCCATCGAGTTCGGTATCCTGATCATGTACTTCATCGGCTACGGCTGTGCGTCGATCGAGGGCCCTGCTTCCTTCCGGACTGCGTGGGGCATCCAGTTCATCCCCTGCTTCTTCCTCATGCTCGGTCTTCCCTTCTTGCCCAGGTCGCCCAGATGGCTGGCCAAGGTTGGCAGGGATCAGGAAGCCATTGCTATCCTGGCTAACATCCAGGCTAATGGCAATGTTGATGACCCCAGAGTCATTGCCGAGTGGGAGGAGATTGTCACCGTCATGAACGCCGAGCGTGAGGCCGGCCAGGGCTGGAGGAAGTTCGTCAAGAACGGCATGTGGAAGCGTACCATGGCTGGTATGACTGTGCAGGCTTGGCAGGTACGTTGTTTCATCATTCCTCCCTTTAACTCGTCAACAAATCAGCGACTAACCCTCATCTCACAGCAACTCGCCGGCGCCAACGTAATCGTCTACTACCTAACCTACATCGCCCAAATGGCCGGACTCACAGGCAACGTAGCCATGGTGACCTCAGGCATCCAATACGCCGTCTTCATCATCTTCACCGGCGTAATGTGGCTCTTCATCGACAAGACCGGCCGCCGCACCCTTTTAGTCTACGGCGCCTTGGGAATGGCTTTCTGCCACTTCGTAGTCGGCGGCGTCATGGGCGCGCACCACGACAACGTGCCCGAGGGAGTCGGCGGCAACGCCAACATCGTCATTTCGGTACACAAGGGCGCGCCCGCCAACACGGTCATCCTGTTCTCCTATCTGCTCATCGTCGTCTACGCTTTGACGCTGGCCCCCGTCTGCTGGATTTATGCGGCAGAGGTCTGGTCCTTGGGCACCCGCGCCACCGGTATGTCCATGGCTGCCATGTCCAACTGGGTGTTCAACTTTGCGCTGGGCATGTTCACGCCGCCGGCGTTTGTCAACATTACTTGGAAGCTGTTTATCATTTTCGGTGTGCTCTGCGTCGCGGCGGCGGCCTGGTTCTGGGTGTTTTATCCGGAGACGTGCGGTAAGACGCTGGAGGAGATTGAGATCCTGTTTGGTGATGAGGGTCTGAAGCCTTGGAAGACGAAGAAGGGTGAGTCGAGACTTGCGGCGGAGATTGAGGCTGTTAAGGCGAGGAAGACGGTGGAGAACGAGATTGAGGTGCATGAGCATGAGCATAAGAATGATGAGAAGGTTTAAGGGGTTGATGAATCAGTGTGGTGTGGTGTAGTGTTTGGGAGCGGAGGTGGAGGAAGGCAGTGTCAGTGTGGTTGGTTTTTCCGTTATAGTTAGCAAGATACCCGGAGCAGAGATATGATTAATGAGAAGAATATGTGTACATGTCAGCCTGATTGCCCTGTAGCAATGTCTCTGGCCACAGGATCGTCCGCATCCGTGACTGCCGGTCTGCTTGTTTCCCTTCATACCATATTGCTCCGATTCAGTCCATCTCGCATCCCATGTCACACAACGTTTATTCAGTATCATCAACACCACTGCCGTTACTCGCCACCACCACCGCCTTAACCGCCCTCACACCACACGATATTACACCACCATTTAGATATAGGGCGCCAAACTAGGCAACACCCCCCTATACGCCGTCCCGCTAGGCGGTTCCATCCCATAGATATAGCTTCGCCCTCGTGGGTGGGAGCTAAGTGGAGGTTTCATATGGAATATGAAATTCAACGAATGAGTGGCCTGGTAAGTTGGGGGAAATGCAGGTCCCGCTCGACATTGCTGATCATGCTTTCATCACTGACTTGTTGTTAAGAGATTGCTAACGGCATATAGGCCGCTTTCCGCCGTGGAGGTGACAAACCCATGTGGTCTCATCCTCTTCATGTGCCGGGGCCGTCATAAGTTGTACTAGATTCATTTCGTGGTGACTACCTCCATTGGAGGGCCCTATCAGGCTCAAGGTCAGAAGTTTCAGTCACTGACACTCATGGCAAAAAGCATATACAGTCCAATTTTGGCTTGGTGTTAGGCTGGTTCTTTAGGCGAGGTATTGAAAAGGACTTTGAAGGCGGCAGGAACACATCAGAGTGTTTGACCCAAGCTAAGAACATCCAGGCAAAGGACTTGTCTCGTCATCTAGTCAGAATAGGATCTTGTCCTCCCACTAAGGAAAGGCACAAAGACGGATAGGGGATTTGACAATAAATTCACACTCTAACAGACGTACCATGTCCGGACTGTGTTTTACGTCCCAGGGACTTCAAGTTGCAACGAGGGAAGGAATCCGTGCTCAAGTCTGAGAGTGGCATCGATTTGGACAGAAAACTGCAACATGAGTGATTACCGTCATCCAACTCAACTCTCGTCTTCAACTGTGATCACTGCAGAGCACTCAGCAGTGCAACCGGAGACGCCCCTTCCGCCCTATTTCAGCCGCCATACGGCATGAGATCAGGGCCCGCGGCACTCACTGCAAGGAATGAAGGGCCAATGAACAGGAGTAATGACGGTTCATGAGCAAGTTACCTAGCAGACCGGGACTCAAAAGACTTACGTGGAGTGAGTGATGAGACTACAGTGCTGTACGTATGCCAGTCATCCGCGGCCTTGTAGTCAGAAGCATGTGTCGTATGTGAGGGAAAATGCTTGAAGCAAGTGAAAGAGATGGAAAAGTGTCTGGTTCTGTGGAGTCAGAAAATAATACAACCATGAAGTTTGGGGAGCCCAGATCCAGGCGGGGCGCACCTGCCGGTCCCGACATCGCGAGTAGCAAAGAAGGAACGAACAGAAAGCGCAGTTTCTTCATCGCTCTTGCCTGACAGTTGTAGTGACCGTCACTACGACAAGAAACATTAATTGCACAATGTCAATCAATGACTGGAGCTCCACCTGCTTCCACTTTTGCTGTTGCTGCTTCTTTCCTTGAAGAGCCAGCGATGCCAAAGCGAATTCGGGTTCCGCGTCCGTCCTCCGGTTATTAACATGGCACACACGGCACGAATGCGGAGAGAGCCATATAACACGCCGGGATAATCTGGGGTAGCCAGTAAAAGGCTGGAAGATCTTTTCCCGGCAGATAGATTGCATGATTCCATATAGATTGCTGGAAGGGCCGTATCCCACGTTGAGCTCGGAATCACACATGCTCCATCCGTACTCAGGAGAGTGAGTGATGGTTAGGGAATACCACACAAGGTATTACCACAAAATTCATAAACTCTTCCTGAGTGCCGTAGACACTGACTGCCTTGCACAATCGACGTCTTCACCCATTCACACGGACGATCCCAGGCTCACGCCCATCTTCCCATTCACGCTGTCCACCTCATCGATACAGAGGAGTGAAGATCAACCGCCAAAATGCTCTCCCCTCTCATCCTCACCATCACCCTCCTCGCCAGTCTCACAAGCCTAGCCATCTCCTCCCCCATGCCCCAAGCGACCAGCGTCCCCACCCCCACGACCCTGCAATCCGGCGCCTACTGGATCCGCGCCGTCGTCCAGCCCAACTACCACAAATATCTCCAAACCAAACCAGCCAACATTCCCGGCACCGCCATCCTCGAGTCTTACACGACAGCAGGGCAGTTCAACATCGTCGAAGGGCAGCTGGTCAACAAAGTGTCCAACCCGCCGCTGTACATGTGGGTGGAGGAGCCGGCCGACAAGGCGAACCCGCCGCGGACGCTGGCGACGTGGTTTAATACTACTCGAAACCCTTTCGGAACGTTTGCGTGGCAGGGGGACACGCTGACGTGGTCGGTACCGAGTGTCAAGAGGCAGAATGTGGCGGCTTGGTTGGTGTGTAAGAACCAGGCGCTGTTTGTGAATACGGGCGCTTATGGGTATCAGACGCCAAGCGGGTGCGCGGATCAGACGGTGGGTGTTGCCTCTTTTTCTTACCCCCTTTCGCTCTCACTGGTGGTGTTCAATGTGAGTAGGGCTAAGGGATGAGATAGATACACTACTACAACGACAAGACTGCGAACAACTAGTGGAGGGCAAAGGACGGGAAACAAAGGGGTCGGGTGCTGAAAGGGTTGAATGGCTAGCGACGTCCCAAATAATACCACGTTTAAGCACCCTCTCATCCACGGCGCTGTACAATGTCGAGTCAGTCACTTAGTGATCCGCGTCCTTGGTGTTCAAGTCACCGAAGGACAACCCTCCCCCACTGTGGATGTTCCAAAGCGGCGGTGAATGCTGCCGGAAGTATCCAAGCGATCTGAGGACATTTTCTATATGCCACTCCGTCCACCCAGTCAACTACAATGGCAGCAAACAGCTGGGGATAATCGTACTCATAATGCCGAGGCGTCCTTCCCGCCACTTTCTGCACCTTCATAATGTAGTCCTCTTCGCGCACCACGTGCATCATGTCTTCGTGAGAAGCTGGCGAGCCCGGTGGTTGTCTGCTGCTGGACAGGGGATAGGATCCGCGTGCTATAACAATGACGCTCTGCCTTCCTTTCAACCTGGCAGGGTATCCACTCCGCTGTTCTGGGCTGTTCCAGCGAAGCGTGCCGCACGGTATCCCGTACTTGTCTCGCAAGTAAGCAAAAGGGACTACAGGTAACGTGCTCGGCTCTGTAGGATCACCGGTGTATACTTCGAAAGAAGCACAGAGGGTGTAAAACCGGAGTGTTCCTTCTATGAGGGGGGCTTCTAAGCGTTTGTCCATGAATGGGTATTCGACGACTTCCACATTGCCGCAGAGCAAGCGGATATCCTTCGGTATACGGACTTGATACTCGTTGTCGAAGACCGAGTCATCGTCCTCAAACAACACGACCGAGTCATAGCCGTCCTCAAACCACACGACCCATGATTCCAGCCTCGTATATAGTTCTTCGAAGCGGTTGGTAATCGTCCCTTTCCACGCTACCCAAGACCAGGTGGGATACACATTACCCCGTAGTGTATCATCTGCCTGCCCGGTTTCCCAGAGCATTGTTATGAAGAATAGCATCTTGTGGCGAGGAAGACCAATGTGAAAGCTGGATTTTGACCACGAAGCAAGGGTTTGCAGTATTCCTTCGAAGGCGCTGAGGGCGTCTGACTGGTAGGTTAATGTGCGTTTGGAATAATCTTGCAAGCAGATGCTGTAGAGGGCCAAGAACGTGGGAATGTCCCTCGGAAAAAAGTACACTTGTGACAGCTCGCGGAGCATGGCACTGCCACCACATGTCTCGCTGATACTCCTCCGGAGGGCTTCATCAAGACGACCGTAGGGAACATCTTCAAGAGCTATGTCCTCGCGCCAAAGCGCCTGACAGCATTGAAAGGAAACGAGGCCGTGGTTGAAGGTAAGGGTCCGCCAGGCGAGCACTTTCTCCTGGTAGGCCCAACCCCGACCCTCTAGCGGAGCCAGGCCTGCTCCCTCTTCTGCTTTACTGCTAGGCACAGTGACGAATCTCATGCTATCCGAGAGTCGACTTACTCGACGCCATGGATGTTGATGGTCTGGGGAAAGGAGACCCGCATCGGCATCGAAACCACTTCTTGCCATGATGACAGCATGAGCAGATCCGAAAATGGCGTTCATGCGAGAGATGGAAGAATGTTTGTTCTCTGCATCATCCTGAACGATGCATAATCGATCACACCATAGGTATCGCTCGTTAAGAGCAATAAGCAGTTTGATAGCATCCCTGATAGTCTTGGGCAGCATGCTACTGGAGTAACTGATGCTTCCTGGTTGGCGTAGATGGTCGAAATTCTGCTTGAGGGTTTGAAAGGTTGCCTCGCGGCCCCAGACGTAACTGAGAGCGAAGTAGTGTGATCGTGAGGGTCTTATTTTTGTCAGACAGCCACGTTGCACATCCAATACCAGTAGAGTGTAGTCTTCGTACTCTGTCGGAAGCGTGTGGCCACATTTGTAACCATGTTCGTTTCTGCATTTTGACAGCCAAGTCTTGATCATAGCAACTCGATATTCCGGGGGTATTACTTGGCCACTCCAGGTCAATGACTTGTTTCCCAAACCTGAAAGGTCTTCGTCAAGGGGTATCAGGTCGAACTTTGGAGATACACCGGCTTCTTCAGTCGAAAACTCGAATTTCCGAACATAGGGCGTAGGTGGTGGGGATTTGTTGCTTGTGTCGACACGAGTATGATCGCAGTAGTTAAGAAGCTCAACGTATGAGAGGGGTTTCTTGAGTTTAATGTTCATCATGCCGGTGCCGTCCTTTGCACTGGAGTGGCTAGAGGGGTACCCAGAGTTTGGAGAAGCCATAACGGGCGAGGAGAGCTTCTTAAGTCGGATTATCGCCTTGCCACGGATGCTGGAGTGACCAGAGGTGAGCCCAAACATGTCCGACAAAAGTCGGCAGAGGTTGCAGCGAAGGTGGTATTTGATGATTGAGTTGACAGAGCCAACTTCAACCCAAGCGTCGTCGTTGCATGCATCGTGATACATTGCGCCCTTCAACCACATTTCCATCATGAGTGGATAAAGCTCCATACATCTTTCGCAAAGATATCTCTCTTCGCCTTTCGTCAAGCGCACGAAGTGCTTGTTCGACAGTGATGGTAGGCGTCGAGGATCTCGCATCTTGTTGTATACTGTGTCAGAGAGCAGCTCGAGAGTGAGAAGCGCGTCGTCAAAGACGCTGGAAGAGTACGACCTCGACCTCTGTTCATTCCAGCTGCTGAGCGGCGATGGGAAGCACTGGTAGAGAAAGGGGCGAGAGATTTCTCACGTGGATGAAGCTCAGGACCCAGCCCAAGGCGATGAGATGGGTTAAGATTCAACGAAGCCGTGGCGCAGCGGCAACACATTTCGTAACCACACCAGATGTGTTCGTTTCTGACCTTCAATTAGCATAACTTGAACAAGTCAACAACCAGAGGACACAGGCAGACTATTGCGGACTAATGTTCAGTCGGGCGATGCCATCGCCTCCACTTCCTCCGCCTCTTGATACCAGCCGATATCCTGCAGGTTGACTTTGTCATGGTTGGGTTGCGAACCCTGCCATCAGCAGAGAGGGGTGTGGCGCAGCGGCCCAGTCAGCCCAACCTTCCTTCGACTGGAACAGTACCGCATTCGGAGATGATGTGCGTAAGAGACAATCCATCTTCTTATGTGGTGTTGATGGGTAATGAAAGAGTAGAGGTCATGCTGAATTTCAGTGCAATGTGAGAAAGTGTTGTTTGGTTGGAAGAATGGGCACGACTCGGAAGTGGAGGAAGTCGTGAATTGATTTCAGAATCCAGCAACATGCGCACGGTCCCCCTTACAGGTACGTCACTCAGTTAGCTCGCAACTACCTCAGGATCATGAAATGCATTCTGAAATCGACGGGAAAGAGCGATAGGGGTTTGGGAGTGAAGGGGGGTCGTGGATCAATGTATTCGAGAACCTTCATTGATCATGTCTGAGGAGTTTCACTGTCATCACAGGATCCTTTCGATGCGTCTTTGTGGCCTTTTCAATTGTGATGTCGGCCATATTCATGAACCGCGCTAACAGACTACCTGTAGACTTGTTATTTATAGCGGATAAAAACCCCGATACCCAAACGCCGACGCTACATGCTGCACCCCAAAAGAAAGAAAGAGACAACAAAACCAGAAACAAACCCACATCACCAACGACATCAACCTCAACCCCATGGACATGCTCCAGATGGATGTCGCTCAATCCTCCGACACAATCAGGAAGAATACCCCAAAGGCGTAACGCCCTGCCTAAACGGCCTCTGCGCACTCTCAATCCTTTCCAAATCCGGCTTCCACACCCCCTTCGTCCGTTCACTATGCAACTTCAGTCCCGTCCCCTCCGCTAACCGATGAAAGACCTCATGCTCCTCCGGCTGGACACTCTTAAAGAACAGGGGCTCCCACACAATCCCCCTCTCCTTCTCCTCGGCCCTCATCCTCCTCTGCGCCTGCTCGACCCTCGTCTTCTCATTCAACACCATCCGCATATCCCCCTCCGCCATGCCCCTGAACACACCCTCCCACGCCCTCCTGCTCTCCCACGGATCCTGCTCAGCTAGGGGATCAATCACCATCGGCACCGGCTGGTTCTCGGGCGCGTCGATATCATAGACCTCGACCGTCTCGCCCATGCGCGGATCGCGCACCTTCCACCCTCCTTCGCTCCAGCACCCTTTCACTTCGTACAGCGTCTGCTGCGAGGGATCATCCCGGTGAAAGATCCGCGCCTCAAACGAGTTGCGCTTCCCTCGGATCATGCCCTCCCCCGTAAACCGAATCTCGGCCTGATACCCACTGCTGCCAATGATGGAGTACGTGCCCAGCACCTCCGGGTACATGCACCCGCTTAAGATCCCGCGCACCTTGGCGTCCAGCAGCGGCATCAGGTAATCCTCGTCGAACCGATCAATATGCAGCACGGCGTTGCCGACCTGCCGGATATTGACAGTCCCATTAAAACTCATCTCGACGCGCGCGTACCCCGTCGTCCGGATGCCGTGCTCGGCGTCGGCGACGTGCATGGCCGTGATGGGCGGGTGGTGGCTGACTTGCTCTGAGACTAGAGTGGTGGTGCATTTCTTCTCAGCGTCGGTCCATGACGCCAAAAAGAGCTCCCCCAAAAAGGCGTTGAGCGGTTTCCTGATGCTGCTGTTCTTGGAGCCGGTGGAGCCGATGTAGAGCTGGCTGCGCAGGGCGACGAGGAACCACCGCAGGACGAGGAGCATGCGCTTTTCGGGGTCGGACTCGAGCGAGGGCGCGGCGAAGACGGAGGGCCGTTGCGCCCAGCAGTGGCCTACTTCGACGACGGAGGAGGGGGCGAGGAGGTGTGGGGGGCCGGTGATGTTGGAGAGGTCGCCTTGGACTGTTGCTAGGAACTGGAGTGAAAAGGTGTGTTAGTGATGGTTCTTGGAGCAAGCAGTGCCAGCAGGTGAGTAGAAGGTGGGAAGAAGAGGAAGATGCGTACTTTGGCAAGGTCTCGTACTCGAGACGCGACTGATTTGTGATCCATGGCTGAAGATGGTTATTGAAGGTAGGTTGCTTGGGTGTTATGATTCTCAACACAATAGAATTGTAAGATACGATGGGGTTTATATCAGATCAAGTGATCGTCCCGTCGTTGACGTCTTTGTATCCTTCCACTTGGGCCTGCCAAGATGCGTCCTGCGCCTGTCAGTTGATCTTGGTCGCTCAGCCCCGATCTTATCGTGCTTGTTAATTGTTGATGATCGGTTGGTGGAGAACGGTACAATATGCCTGAATCGATATCCAAACAAGTTGAAAGCGTGGCTATGGTACTATGGGTTGATGTCGTCGTCGTTTTTAAGTGTTGTTGGTTTGCCAAGACGGCATGTGCAAGTGATGTGTAAGTCGATCTTGGCAGTTACTCCCGATCTTTGTGCATCGGCGTTGGAAAATCGAAGGGGTTGCAGATGGTAAAGAAACAACACACCAAAAACAACAGAACTAAGAAAAATAAGCGCCGTGTTTATTGCGAATACTCGTATTTCAAAGAGGAATCAAGTCGAGATGAGTTATTACGCAGAATTATATGTATGTATTTTGCTCCTTGGCGACTCGTGGGTAAGGGGGGTCGAGCGCATCGAGCTTGTTTCACATCTGTTGCGATATCTGTCGCAGCTCCTTCGCCTTATAACACACGATAAGGAATTCCGTCCCTTAAGAAACTCAAAAGATCAGGATCCCTAGCCCATCAGTTGAACATCTATGCGTTTCGTCTTTTGCACTGCCTCTATAGCTGCGGTGCGTAACGTTCATCCAAACTCTTCATCATTAGAAGTCCAGATGACTTGTACCAACAGTGACAACGACCTGACTTCGACATAGCTGTGCATATTACTTGAGCATGACACAACCGTCGGCGCATCGCTTGTTCTCTCGCTCTACCTAGGTATATGCGTTGTACTTTCTTCAGCCTCCCGGATCGTGGGAATTCCGGGCGCATCGTGCGGATCGATGTTGCTAAGATGCACTGCATGCGCCACTGACATGAGTGCCGCGTGCACTCTCGCTCGCGTGGCCTGTACAGAGAAGCACCTCGGGAATCTTGGCGAAGAACGAAGAACGTTTTTGTTTGAAGTGACTCTTCCCCGGTTGATCAAGGTTATTTTGATTACGCTACCGGTAGAGTCCCGGCGAGAACGGCCCCGATACCTACCTACTCAGCACGTTGGCTGCCGGCCCGGGCGTGATACTGGCCCGCCCACTCCCAGAGCGAGATCTCCGTCCGACGTCGACGTCATCACAACGGCCGGGGTTTGGACCCCTGAATGGACCCCTGAAGCTTGGACCAGTTTAGCGCCTCTGTTACCTACAGTGCCTCAGGGCACGGGCAGGACAGGAACAACTTGAAGCTCGAGAAACTCGAGGAATCGGAACGGAACACGGGAGTTGAACGCTGAAACAATTACTTCTTTATGCTGTGGGGGAGGTCGACAAAGGTAGGGAGCACCCATGGTACAAGAAACGGGCTCGGTTTTTGTTCGTACCTGACCTGGGTTATACCGTCGAGAATGAGGATCGATCCAAGGACAACTTTTGATCAAAGCCTCCGAGTCTACTGTCAACATAACCTCCTGGCCTATAAAAGATATGCGACATCGAACTTTGCGGGGACTCCATTCAGTTGGCCTTACCTGAAGCTGTTCAAAGGCAGAATTAAAAAAAAAAAAAAAAAAAAAAAAGGAAAAGAAAAGGGGGAAAAAAAAACAAGAAAAAAAACCCCCCAAAAAAGAAAGACGTTGTTGAACATCGGGAATTGAGCCCGACGTGGGGGTCGAACCCACAACCTTGAGATTAAGAGTCTCACGCTCTACCGATTGAGCTAGCCGGGCAGCTGCAAGCTGCCATTGGATGTTGGACTCCGGGCCCGAACTTACTCCTTAAGAAGCTATCCATTCCCACAGTTGTACAGTACTTGGATGTTGTCGGAGTGAAGCATCGATGCAGTGTGAAATAACACGATTGAACTCGTAGCCCATTGAGAACATTCGAACATGGTTAAAAGGTTTTTATTATCTTTTATTATCGTCATCATAATACAGATGTGTCCGACAATGTGCCATCTGCTTTCCCATGGTAGTAGTATCCCCAAAGCAACCATAACGCCATCTATCTTATCCATCATCTCCCAAGTTCAATTACTACACATTCGAAAAATCCTCTGCCCAGATCATTCTAATCCGATGATATTTCAAGCGGACTTCTTCCCTACATTAGCAGCCACATCATGATGACCCTTGTGATCCACATTGATATGCGACTGCTGCGAACCGAGTCTCAATTCCCATCTTGTAATCCTCTAGGTTAGTTTTTAAACATTTTCAGCTCACTGCTACCATAAAATTCTTGGAGGATGCCTGACATCAAGGTCATGCTGAAAGGGTGATCAGTCCCGGAGGTTGGAGCGCCGATTATATCACCATGTGTGATGTCAGTGGAAGGCGATGTCGCGCATGCGCTTTGCGCACCTCCGCAACCTAGCTATGCGCTTGTGGGATGATGGCCACATCCACGATGGGCATGTCCCTCCTGCAGACCCTTGAATCTCCAGCTTGACGCAGGTGGTCATGCGGGGGAATGCCTCCGTGACTCAAAAATGATAAAATGTCTTTCGTACGTGGCCTTTAGCTCGAGAGGTTCGGCCACTGGATCTTGTCGCAGACCTTCTCCCTCTCAGTCCACTCCTTGATCTTTTCAACATCCCAGCCACTGATCGATTGCTGGGCCCCTTCTTTCTTCGGCACGGGCTTCCCCAGGATGAAGGACTTGTGCATGGCACACTTCCCATCCTCGTACTTGTATTGCACGCAATCATCGGGAGGCAAGCTCTTGCACGCCGCTTCGCAGTCAGAGGCCGACCGGTGGGCGACCTTTTCCAGCTCGTTATAATCGCTCGCCTTCTTCATGCGATGGAGAGTGCCCTCGTCCCATTCCTTTGCGGCGAGGTCGACATAGAAACGGTCGTCGGACTTGTTGTCCCAGTCGAGCTGCTCGCGCTTAAGCTTGGGTTCGAGATATTCGTGGTAGATGTCCTTGATGAGAAGGGGTCGCGGGTTTCCGGATGCGAGCTGCTCTTTGCGGAAGCGGCGCTCGAATTCCCAGAACGTGTCGATCTCTTCGCTATTCATGTGATGCATCGTGACGATCGGGTGGCACCAATGCCAGGGACCAAACGGAAGCGTCGCGGGCTTCTCGCCGTTAATGGTTGGCCACTGTGAAACAACATCGGTTAGTACGAATGATTTGTTCCGAATTTCGTGCGCAGAGAAAACTCACCATTTGTTCGACGGAGACATCAGCGTTATCTTTGAGCGCCAGGGCAAAAACGTAGTCTCCACAGCATTCGCGCTTTGCGCGCAAGTCGTACCTTTGTCCCACTCCGGGGTTCTCATCGACGAGCGCCTTCATCGACGCCTTGCTGACGATATACCCCGACCCGCCATGGCCGAAGCGGAAGCCCTGGATCAAGGTGACACTGCCAAGGTAGTGCTTCTTGTTGGGGTTCAGCTTGCCTAGCCATTGTACCAGGTTGGGCCACAGGACATATGTGTCGGCGTCTACAAAGACGTACCAGTCATAGCCTGGGCGCATCTTGTACGTTTGCTCCGCCATGTGGACATTCTTATACTTGTCGAGGTTCCAGCCTTCGGTCGCGGGGTTGCCCTGCTTGTTGCAACCTTCAACGTCAACAGGGCACGCCTTCTGGCGACGGTAGAGGTCGAAGTCCGAGTTCCCCTCCATGGCCTCGGCTGACACGTTGGACAAGCTGTCGTACACCTGGTATCCGCCAATCTTCTGTTCCATGTCGCTAAAGATGAGGAAATCGGGTACACATTTGAGCACGGTCAAAAGTTGAGTAGGCACGCGGTTGAAGGATTCCGACGCGCCCGTCTTCATGATGACCAGAATATTGTCGGGAATTGGGTAACCGGCGCAGTCTGGGATCTCGGAGGGATGCGGCCTAGGGCCAGGACCGGTGTGTCCCGGCGGCGGGGGATGATGGTGACCACGGCCATCGGACTGGTAGAGAGGGTCGTCAATGGCAGCCCAGCCGCCGAGGCGCCTCGAGGTGGCCAGGAGAAGGAGCAGACTGATTGTCGCACATAGGGCGACGGTGATGGATTTGCGCGTGAACATCCTGGGCAGCGTTGGGATGCAGAAGAGGCTGTCTTGGCCAGGAAGGGGCGCCTTGATCATTTGAAGGGAAACAGTTCAGGTCGCAGTTGCAGAGAGAGAAATCAAGAGTGCAGACGTCATGCCACTCTCTAGTTCCCCATTGAGCAGATCCACCAGGTTCGACGATCGCCTGGAGAACCAAGAAGAGGTGGGTGGAGGAGGGCAGCAAGGGCAGCGAGTGGAATCGGGACCAAGTCAGTCTCTTGTGATGGTCGCGCAAATCGGGGATCTTTCTGCAGGGGTTGCAGGGCCCGGTTAAAATAAGGAATGGAGAACGTGGGAATGTGGCAGGGTAGACGCTAGACAGGGCTGAAAGGGGAATTAGTGAGCGACTAGAGGTCACAAATACGAGCCCGCCATACCGGGACGCGCGCCTGAGTGGTTGCAAAGGTTGGAGATATCAATGGCTCAAAGAAACCGGCCAAACGGACGGAAAGGCAAGGCCAATGTCATTCACGTGTTAGAGGTAGCAAACCGACAGGTGTCAATCAAGGTAGGTGAAGCAGGCTCGCAGAAGGAGGCGAGGGGGAGGGCGAGGGGCGGTGTCGACTTCAAAGGGCTCGAAATGTCTCTGATCGGAAGTTGAATGGAGCACACGGTAGAGTAAATAAAATAAGCTGTCTTTGTGTCTCATCGCGTTGGGTCATGGTGTGGGTGGCGGCCCTTCCCTGCATGGAGCCTGAACGGAAACACAGGGCAGCTCGCCCACCGTTGACAGGACGGGATGCCATGAGATGGGACGAGTCGTCCAATGTTAGAGCCGACTCGCCGGTACCTCTTGGTCTGTGGAAGATGATGCGCCGGCTTGGTATAACTTGGCTGTGATATACTCGGAGATATTTGGTTCTACTACCGTCTAGTCACTTTGTTGAGAAACTGAAGGGAATGACTGAAAACGGATTCACAGCATCATCGGCGGGCGTGGGAGTGAGTCGAGGTACAAATGCCGCGGCATTGCCAATCGAGGCATGGACGGCAGCGATGTGGCTGCCGTTTACTGCTGTGATGCGCAGCGATGATCCCCTCTAGATCCACTCAAATTCCAGGGCAGACTCTCAGGGGAAGCAAGGCAAGATGAAGATCCCGAAGTCGTCTTAAACAGAGTGTTGGAGGCGCCTTGTTTCAGAACAAATGTGAACTGTTGATCGTGTTGATGCTCATCAGCTTCAAAATACAAACTGCGTGATAAGCTGGAGATGATATTCAGGGAGATTCCATCCTCTTCGTCCCTTCTCTTTTTGAGATTGGTGCCTGGAGATGTTCCTAAAACGCCCTAACGCAGATGCAACCGGAGTGTAAGGCGAGACGCCAAATGCAGGGCATAAGCAAAAGCGAGTACTCACATGACCCGACCCCATTACCAAAGCTTCCTGACCCAAGTGGATACGCCAAGACCGACCCCATACTGTGAAAAATCTCTCATCCGACCTTCGCCCCCTTAATATTTTCTTTCCCCATAGAGAAATAATTAATCGCTTGCTCGAAGTTTCTTATTGAGAAACAATATTATTCGCGTTTTAAATACGCTTCTTAAATATTAATAATCGTATATCTAACTACGACTATAAACCGACCGCGGCCGACATTTCCTCGTTGCATACGAATAGCCCGTAAATTATCTTTAATATATCCATGAATTATTTTTGCAAAATAGTTAATAATAATATTCCTAACGCTAATATTTTAGCTATTATTATTAAGCTCGGCTTAATTAAGTAGAATAATATAATTTTTATTGAATTATTAACGATATTTGATTTGGAATAAATAGATAGTGTAGCGGCCGAATTCGATAAATTGGAGGAGTTGAAGAATATAACCCCTTCTAATATATCGATATTAACCGACCTCTTAATAAATATAGTTAATATATTCTTAACATATTTTAAATATATTTTTTATTAATTAATAATATAATAATATTAATTATATAAAGGTTGAAATTATAGGTTTAATATTTATTTTATCCGATAGTATTACTTAATACTCTAATTTTATTTAAATAATATACTATATTATAATTATTTTAGAATACTTTAAGTCTTCTATTCTTAGCGTAGCCTACGTTATAAATATTAAAGGTTTAACCGAAGTTTAAATTAAGGCACCGTAGGACGAAGTATATAAAGTAGAATAATTCGAGATAAATTAATAATATATATAGGCTTAATCCCTAATTAATTTATAATATCATAAATTTAATATTATATAAAGAGAAAAATACTTGCTAAGGATACTTCGTTTAGTTGCCTAAATAATGCTATATACCGTTGTACTATTTATAAATACTCTAGTATTAAATACTATAAATATTTAAACCCGCGAATTTAGTAAGCGTATTAATAAGGGTTTACCGCTATAATTAATAAAGAGGTTATAAACCTTTTATTTTAAATCCGCTTCCGATAAAATAAGGTCCCTTTAATTAAGCGAGTTATTAAGTACAGATTTACCCTTAATTTATCGCTAAATAATTTTTTATATTATTTTAATTTAATCGAAAATAATTATTTTCTATTAATACTATGTTAATAATTAATTGGGTATAGGCGATTAGGACGTATTAGGAAATATAGGGTTATAAAGAATTGAGGTCGTTATATAAGTTCGTTTGGTGTATAAGTAAAGGAAGTTTTTATTTAAAATATATTCCTAATAACTAGTATTACATTTAAAATTTATTTCAATTTAAATAATTACCGGCTATGATTACTATTAACTAAAGTATTAGAATTCGAAGCCGGGAGAGAGAATATAATTTTTTATTAACTTCCTTAATAATTTTAATTAATATTAGTTATACGTTAAATTAATTATTAAAGGGTATTTAAAGAATTCTATACCCGATTTATTATATATTAAAACGTATATTAAAATGAGTACTATATTAATAAGAAGGACGCACTATAATAAATAGATCTTTCTTTAATATATTTATAATGTATTAAAAATTTATTATCAATAAATTAGAGACCAATTACACTTAAAGTTATAATACTATTAAAATTCGAAATTATAATATCATTATCAAATTTTATATTCTAATTAATGCTAAAACTATCTTATATATTATTATAATTTCCTATAGTCAATATACCTACCTACCCCCCACTCCCAATAAAGCCCCTAAATAGATTATCGATAATTTAATACGGGTATTGGAGAGGGTAGGAAATTTTAATATAATATAGAGTAAGTAAATTTGGAGTATATCGTCGATAGATTAAGGATAAATTAAAAATTAATCTACAATTTAATAATTTTAACGTATAATTCCTATTTTATTCAATT